TAACTGGCCAGTCAGACGTAACCTGGGGAATTAGAATGGAGGACACAAAAGATGGATGGATGTATAGATAGATAGATTAAATTAAAATAAGTTTAAATGTAAATTCTGGTGTATCTGTTATACACATCTCAACCATAAAATGCTGATCTTGCATATGCTTTTGCATTTGTCAAATGACTAATATAATCATAAAAATGAGGGAGGCTGACTCTTACTCAAAGAATCTGTGTGCATATTAGTTAAGACAGTTCTGCTATGTTGTTATTCTGGCTTTTAATGTTACAAAACTCATTAAACGATGCGAGAGGGTTTTTCATCAGTGATGCTCAATAGAAATGCCTCATTGCCCTTCATAAAAGATCTGCAACAACATACCTTTCTCTTTATCCCTGTGTTTACTTCAACTGCAAGACTGGCAAACATTAATTCAAGCAAATCACTCCCCTCCAGAGAGGGCCTGCATGATATTTCTCTCTGCTGTAGAATCTAATTAAATTTGCAGCTGTCTTTTAATCAAAATGAGGCTAATTTGCATATGGGTAGGGTAACAGCCCCACCTTCCTTTGTAAAAAAAGACTTGGCATCATGCCAGGAGACAGTCAGAGAATAGGGTCTCAGTGTGAGAATATCGCATGTACATATGTGTGCATGTGAGTATTAATTTGAAGAGGGTGGGGGAGTAGAGGTAAAACACGACAGGCAGATGAGGTAGAATGGAAATCTAATTATGCAAGCGAACAAATTAATGCTAGCAATTTAGAAAGACTAACAAACAATGTGGCCATTTGTTAAATTGGCTCAAGGGTATTGCAAACAGAGCAATGTGGGAGCTGTCTCAACAGAAAACTCAAAATCACCGAATTGTATCAGGTTAATTTCTAAAATTAGCAAGTATAGCGAAACACACACATTTAATATTTAAAAGTGGTTTATATACGGCAATTCATTATCAGCAATTACCTTGCTTTTCTTGATCTGAACAGATGTGCTAGTGTTGCGGCGATTAGCTGATCTTTAGAAGGATGACAGGCTTTTGTTTTGGAGCTTGTTGACTTTCATAGATGAGGATCAGAGAAAAAGGAGAGAGGATGACGACTTCTTATGGGGAGACTAAGGACTTGAGTTAGATGACTGTCTGCCAGCAGTGTGTATACACTCACACATGCATGCACACAAAAATGATTAGCAAGCTATCTAGCTACCTAAATGGAGACTTCTACTATTGCCAAATAAAGCAATTTTAAAGCTAATTTTACATTTTTAGAATTAAAAATAAAAGACACAGAACACTGTTAAAGGCATGTATTAGTTTGTATATTGTGGATGAATTCAAAAGCTCACTTCTATGGGCATGATTTATGTGTTAACCTTGGGTATCAAAACAGTGGTTGTGATGCAATTTGCAAGGACATTGAGAATAAGACTAAATTTATTGACTGTGAATCTGTAAGCCTTCACACGGGTGCTCTAATAGGTCCTTTATAAATCTAAAAGGTCATAGTTTCTATTGAGTAGCTGAACTTGACCTTTTACTTCTATAATATCTCATACTTCTGAATGAATAGAAGGATGAAACCACAAACCACACTTTTGTGTAGCTTGTAAAGTGTAGTTTTACAAATACACAAAACTTACCAAAAAAAAATAAAAACATACAGCCAGGGGCGTACATTTTGTCTAACAGTAGGGGGGGCAATAAACTTGAAATTTCTCAAGAGCAATTTTTGAAGGGGACACAAATAATACAGCTAAAACTGTACTTGTATACACAGAGGAATGGCTTACTACTATTAGTGCAGCAGGGAGACCGTCCGTGCGTTCCATTCGAAAGGGCTCATCCTTATGCCCTAATCCCTTCAAAGGGTTTACCCTCCGGAGTGAGAGCAAGGGTTGAAGGGTGTAGGGGACCAAACAACTGTTTCTTGAAGTGCCCTTCTGCGTCATCATCACGTGCCCACACAGAGACACCATCATCATGCAAAGAATCTGCGCAAAGGATCATGGGAGCACGAAGTGTCCATCAGTTGTACTCTTTGAAATCCTTAATTTCGAAGGGCCCTTTGGCCCTGTCCGAAATGGCACCCTAAACCCTCTCTGTCTTTCTCTGAGTCCGCACTTTCGTGACGTAATGCCACTTTGACTGTCGGGTAGAAGTCTGCTGCGGAGCTCACCCCAGTGTGGGCTCGGCAGAAGTGTGGATCGAGGGCGCATAACGCCCGAAAAGGGGGAGCTTGTGAGCTAAAATGACAAATGGGACACCCTACGGTCTCGTGGACTTAACAGACATTGTAAGTCCATAAGGCCGCAAGTGCACATGAATTGTTCCATTTGGAATGGAACTTCTACCTTTGAAGTGGCCAGTTTTGAGCACTTCGGTTTGGAACGACCCTTCAATATGGCAGCCATGATTGTTTTCACTTCTAAGTGCCCTTCGAAAGGCGATATATCCCTTATGGAATGCACCGCGTGCCAAATTAGACAACTTAAAGCTGTTGTGGTCGCACCGTGACAGTGCATGTGTCCAATGATAGACATTATTATCCGTCACAGTGTTACCAAGTCCACAGTTTTCCTGTGGAATTGGGATACTTTATCACTCTTGCCGCGGATTGTTTTTCATGTCCGTGGGTTGAAGCGATCCCAATAACATGTATTTTAGCCCCCGGAATGCGATTTTTACCAGGGGACCCCCTCAAAAAGCGGAGTTTGGGCTAGTTTTAAGTAGCAGTTGGGCGGGTTTTGTTATGAAAACCTGGCAACCCTTTCCCTCAAGCAGGTAACGTTATTATTGCTAACATATCGGACTCATCGAAAAATACATTGGCATCATCTGTATTAAAAAGAAAATAATCACTTCATCCGATGTTTAAGTGAATAAAATAGCCTTGACAGCCTTACTTACTGGAGTTCCACAACTATTGGCTTTGTTCTCTCTCACCGGATTTGTGTGTGTTTAGGTGATGTAAAAGAGGAAAGCAGGCATTTGGACCAAAGCACTGCGAGGCAAGGGAGGGGGAGACTCAAAATGTTTCTAAACTTAAAACGCATTTTTGCCCCGTTTGTGTTGTTTTAAAAGGATCATGGGAGCACGAAGTGTCCATCAGTTGTACTCTTTGAAATCCTTAATTTCGAAGGGCCCTTTGGCCCTGTCCGAAATGGCACCCTAAACCCTCTCTGTCTTTCTCTGAGTCCGCACTTTCGTGACGTAATGCCACTTTGACTGTCGGGTAGAAGTCTGCTGCGGAGCTCACCCCAGTGTGGGCTCGGCAGAAGTGTGGATCGAGGGCGCATAACGCCCGAAAAGGGGGAGCTTGTGAGCTAAAATGACAAATGGGACACCCTACGGTCTCGTGGACTTAACAGACATTGTAAGTCCATAAGGCCGCAAGTGCACATGAATTGTTCCATTTGGAATGGAACTTCTACCTTTGAAGTGGCCAGTTTTGAGCACTTCGGTTTGGAACGACCCTTCAATATGGCAGCCATGATTGTTTTCACTTCTAAGTGCCCTTCGAAAGGCGATATATCCCTTATGGAATGCACCGCGTGCCAAATTAGACAACTTAAAGCTGTTGTGGTCGCACCGTGACAGTGCATGTGTCCAATGATAGACATTATTATCCGTCACAGTGTTACCAAGTCCACAGTTTTCCTGTGGAATTGGGATACTTTATCACTCTTGCCGCGGATTGTTTTTCATGTCCGTGGGTTGAAGCGATCCCAATAACATGTATTTTAGCCCCCGGAATGCGATTTTTACCAGGGGACCCCCTCAAAAAGCGGAGTTTGGGCTAGTTTTAAGTAGCAGTTGGGCGGGTTTTGTTATGAAAACCTGGCAACCCTTTCCCTCAAGCAGGTAACGTTATTATTGCTAACATATCGGACTCATCGAAAAATACATTGGCATCATCTGTATTAAAAAGAAAATAATCACTTCATCCGATGTTTAAGTGAATAAAATAGCCTTGACAGCCTTACTTACTGGAGTTCCACAACTATTGGCTTTGTTCTCTCTCACCGGATTTGTGTGTGTTTAGGTGATGTAAAAGAGGAAAGCAGGCATTTGGACCAAAGCACTGCGAGGCAAGGGAGGGGGAGACTCAAAATGTTTCTAAACTTAAAACGCATTTTTGCCCCGTTTGTGTTGTTTTACTACTTACACAATTATTTAAAGTATAAAACAATGTTATTTACAATGCACAGCGTGGTTTTTAATCATATTTTTCATAATCATATTTTTAGGGGGGACCACCCTCAGATAGGTATATCTGATAGATAGATTTCCGCCTATGCATACAGCAGTAGGAGGGCAACAACGTACCCCTGATTCCTTTGAAGAGTTAATTCTTGAGAAAGCTGAACATATATTATTAAAAATTTTATTGTTTGCATAGTTAGACATTTCATATAATAAAATAATGGTATAAAAAAACATGTTTACTGAAAACAAATATTAAAAGCTTTGTTTTTTTGGACAGTTGGATGTCTTGTTAAAGTCAGGGCAACATTATATAACAGTCAATTTAGTGATTTATGTAATATATATGAAACAAGGCAACATTATATAACAGTCGATTTAGTGATTATGTAATATATATGAATATAAAAAATACACTGATATCATATATGATAACATATATTGTACTCTTAAAATCTGAGCGTAGGCGGCGATAGCCTTTTGGGCAGCACGCTAACATACAGCGCCGTTGCACTATAGCCATCCCGAGTTCGAATCCCGATCCCGCCCACCTCTCTCTCCCACTTCGCAAAAATAAATCTAACAAAAAAAAGTGTTTATATATGTATAAACACAGTACCAAATTTTATCACATGCACATCTATATGTTGTGATGGATATTACTGAATAACATTACATGCGATATACAGTATAAGTAAATACATTGTTACATATTTTTCAATATATGAAAAGCGACAATTTATGCACATAAAGGGACACTACAACTGCATAGATTTTAGAAGGGCTTTTCACACATTAAATAGTTAACACTGGGTCATTCTAAACCCCAAGTAAACAGAATCCTGGGTTTATTTTGCTTCACATTTCACATTGCTCAAAATTTACCACGTTTAACAATTAATTCTGGGTATTCATAAGTGTCAGGATTATGGACTTGTTTTGCCCCTGTTTCTGTTCCGGTGTTTCCTTATTGGTCATGTTTCTGTCCTCGTTTAGTCTAACTAGTTTGATTATCATCCTATGCCCCTGTGTTTCCCTTATTATCCCCTGTATTTAAGTCCATGCCTTTGCGTTCTGTGTTTATCGGGTCTACTTGTTATGTTTGTGTGTTTCCTGCCGTTCCCAGTGTTGGATGTACCCTGTGGTTCGCTGATTAAAAGACTATTTAGTTTATTCCACGTCTCCATCGTTCCTCCCAGCACAGACCGTGACAGGAGACCGGATCAAAAACAGTAACCTCCGTGTCTACGTGTCTAAGCTTGAACACCGTGAGCAGAGCGCCGTCGTCCGAAGATGGTCCTCGAGAGGATTTTGCCGCTTTCGTGGAGTGGACTCTGGAGAGAAACGGATTGCCATTCACCATCTGCCCCGTGGATGATCTCGCCAGATCCGCTCCTCACACAGAGCCCAGCCCACCATCTCCCCGAGGTACGGTGCATCAGCCCGAGCCCACCGATGACGGAGAGCCCATTCCCACCGCGATCGACGAGCCAGCGCAAAGCTGAGCAACTGAGCGGAGGAGCAGAGCCTAACCCATCAGACTGGGTGCGAGAGCCGGCAACAGTGCCCCCCGCCAGGGAGCAAGCCGTGGACAGTGAAAGCGCAGAGTGGAGCTCTGCCCAATGCACCGTGGCTGAGGGTGAGCTAATTATATATCTTTGACTGCTGGACTTCGAGGGGGACCTTATAGACTGAGAAACGGAGCTGGAAGTCGATTTGCCCCCTCTCCTCCCTCCTTCCTCGAAGCCCTTTGTCACCCCTGTTTTCACGTCCAGCCCGGAGAGGGCTCCTGTTTCCACTGTAACGTTCGGCCCTATGGGTCGAATTTACAATTGTTAAAATGGGGTCAGATTATACTGTGCAAGAGCTTTGAGTGTTTAAAAAGATGAGACAGACAACAATGTTAAATGTGAAAATCAAATATGTTTTTACAATATTCACAGTGGACCTAAAACAACACAGTAAAAATAGAAATCTTAGGCTGTTAAAAGCACAGAGTCTTTCAGTTCCATACCATTAAAACAGTCCTTAAGAAATCCAGCATGCTGTAAATCCCAATGTGAATGTGAGAAGTGTCCACCGGTGTATACAATCCAAGGAGAGTGATAATCCAATAAAGTGAGATTCTGGAATGGTTAATCCACAAAGGTAACTCCTCAATCCAGACTTTGGTCAAAGACCCTGTTTATTTGTCATGCTGCTTGCTTTATACTGGTCTACTTCCTGATTCCTGTCATGTGAGTCACAAGTCACATGACAGGCAGACCCAGAGTCTTTTAAAGACATACACACATTAAAATGGTTAAGAGGAATAAAATGGCTAAGACAACATGAAAACCTAATAAAACTCAAATATACATAAAATCATTAGAATATATTGAGCAGGTTAAAACATGTGTCCTGTGTGATAGTGTCACATAGGCACTGGGCTGGTCTTCGCAGTGGGAGGAGAAATGGCGGCTTCTGGACCCTTTGTTGGCTCCAGCGGTTTCGCCCATTTCTTGTCTCTCCTCTTAAAACAGTCGATGACCTCTCTCTAGTGTCGCCACGGCATCCTTGATAGATTCCTCCATTTTACCAAATTTAAAATCCACAGCGTCTCTAAAATAAACTTCACGGTTTAGATTACTTTCAAAAGATATGATATGACATATGATCTCAGCTCTTCCGAAGAATATACTTGTATCCTAGTTACTGTCAATTGGTTCTCTAAGGCCTGTAAATTGGTCCCTCTCAAGGGCTTACCTACTGCAATGGTGACGGCTGAACTTCTGTTCAGTCACATTTCTGCAACTGTGGGATTTCAGAGGATATTGTATAAGATCGAGGCCTTCAGTTTGTAAATCACATATGAAGGGCCCTCTTCAAACTCCTGGGTATGACCATCAGCCATAGGCAGAAATCCCGGAGGGGTCGGGTGGGACAGGACCCCCCCCCATCTGAGGGTTGTCCCCCCAAAAATATGATTAAAAACTACGCTGTACATTGTAAATAACAATGTTTTATACTTTTAATAATTGTGTAAGTAGTAAAACAACACAAACGGGGCAAAAATGCGTTTTAAGTAGGGCTCGGGGCAAAAATGCGTTTTAAGTAGGGCTGTCAACGTTAACACATGCGATTAATTTTATAATCCTTAATGCATTCAAATAATTTGACGCAATTAACGCAAAATTACTGAAGCACAATTTCTATTCTAACCCTTTAACCAAATGTTGCTTCTCTGATTGCGATCAGATATTTTTAAGCTGCTAAACTCCAGTCCAATGATCCAGTAAGCGAATGCATTCATACAATCCGTCCAAAACAGCGCTAATATAAAGGAAACCAGGCTAATTACATCAGAGTTTGCAGAGAGAACAGAGACTCGCATTGCGTTTTCAGTGAATTATTCATTCCAGTGTGTTTCGCTTTAAAACACGAGCTCGGTCATATTCTGTGATCGTTTCTGAAGAGCGCGAGCCCTCACACGTCGCTCTGTGAAGTACAGACTGAACGGATTGTCAACACATCCCACCGCTGTATGCCCAGATGAGACACAAACTACATTTTCTCGACTGGATAACCAGTCTCACTAGTAAAGTTCTGATGGATGAAGACTGCAATTAAGGTTAAGGCGATTGCGGTGGCGTACAAGAGTCATACAGTAAGCACGTGTGAGTCCGTTATAATAATGTGTGTATGAGTGCTATGGACGCACTGATCGCACATTGTATTTATGCACAGGCACAGACATTTCCGTACATTCACGTTGTTTCCACAGACATTCACAATAATGTTTTGATTTGTCATGTGTATGTTGCTGTATTTAGTTATTCTGAATGGATCCGTGTAATGTAGTAGATAAATGCAGTCAGCAGGCGGTTGGTTTAGTTGTTTTTTTGGCATCACCATGTGGTCTTGTTCAGTATCGCAACTTGACTTCTCTAAAATGTAAAAAAGCTCTTTGCTGTTGCACTGTACACATACTATAAAATTCTGATTTATTTTCTTTCATATGTGCTTATATGGGCTCATATCATTTGGTTCGTTGGTGTCCTTTTGGAGTTTCTAAGTGTCCTTATTTGGAAAGACATCTAAATTTATCATGAAAAAACTTGCAGAAAATACAGATTTTTAAGAATCTTCAATCTTCTGGTTTACTTTGCTGGATATAGCAAATTATGACAAAATAAACATTTGAAACAAGATAAATGGTCTATGCTTAATTTCATGAAGTGTGCAATTATTTGCAATTAATCACAGAAAAAGGGTGTGATCAATTAGATTAAAAATTTTAATCGACTGACAGCCCTAGTTTTAAGTTGCCTCACAGTGCTTTGATCCAAATGCCTGCTTTCCTCTTTTACATCACCTACACACACACACGAGTCAGGTGAGAGAGAACAAAGCCAATAGTTGTGGAACTCCAGTAAGTAAGGCTGTCAAGGCTATTTTATCGGATTAAGTGATTATTTTCTCTTTAACACAGATGATGTCAATGTATTTTTCGATGAGTCCGCTATGTTGGCAATAATAACGTTACCTGCTTGAGGGAAAGGGTTGCCAATTTTTCATAACAAAACCTGCCCAATTGCTACTCAAAACTATCCCAAACTATCCGTGTTTCAAAGGGGGTCCCCCTGTAAAAATCGCATTCCGGGGGCTAAAATACACATTATTGGGGTCGCTTCAACCTTCAGACATGAAAAACAACCCACGGCAACAGTGATAAAGTAGCCCAATTCGACAGGAAAACCACGGATTTGGCAACACTGTGACGGATAGTAATGTCTACAATGGACACGAGCGCTTTCACGGCATGACCACAACAGCTTTAAGTTGTCTAATTTGGCACGGTCTCCCTGCTGCACTAACAGTAGTAAGCCATTCCTCTGTGTATACATATCCTTACAAGTACAATTTTAGCTGTATTATTTGTGTCCCCTTCAAAAATTGCTCTTGAGAAATTTTATGTTTATCCCCCCGCCCCTACTGTTAGACGAAATTTACGCCCCTGCCATCAGCCTCTCTTCAGGATATCACCCCCAGAGCAATGGGGCAAATTGAACGATACAAGAAATCAGTCACTTCCTTTATACTTTCTGTTATCACCACCAAAACCAGTGGAGTCACTTCTTGTCCTGGGCTGAGTATGCATAAAACTCACTCCGGCAACCCTCTACAAAGCTCTCCCCCTTTCGGTGATTTCCAGCTACCAACCACTTCTGTTCAAACCATTGGATGTCTCATCTGTTGACCACTGGTTCAGAGAAAGTGAGAGGGTTTCGGCCTTAGCACATCAACATCTGCAGTGGGCTGCCACGTTGATGGTGGAGATCCACCACTCCCAAATACCAGTCCAGGTAGAAAGTGTGGCTCTCCATGATGAAGGACATCCAACTACACCTCCCCTGCAAGAACCTAAGTCCGTTAAATTGGTCCCTTCACCAAGACTTTCCAAAACGTACCTTCTCCATTCCTTGTCTACAACAATCTCATTCAAAAGTTCCAGTGATCTCCTCCCTGCTTACCTCTATTTATTAACCTGTAATAGGCTACTCACTGCCACTTGCCTGCACCCATATCTTAATTACAGCCAGATTATCAGCTGTGTTGTCTACCAATCTTTCCTACCTGCTATATTTTAATGCTCTTCATCTAGACATCAGTATATGCTGCATTGATATCTACTCGCCTGATATACCTCATCTGACATGTTGTCTTCATTCAACCCTGCTGTAAATAAACACTGCTTTGAGTTCAAACTTACTGTCTTGTCTGAGTTCTCTGTATCCAAATGAAAGGAAAATGTATCTACATTTATATTTAGATTTCTATACTCAATATTCTATACTCAAGATTCATAGAGACCTTTATATATAATATAATATAAATATCAAATATGCAATCTCAAAAGTATTGCCAGCCACTACTGAAATAACATTTTAATGACTTATTTTCCACTTTCTTGTAACTTACTGAATATACACACATGCCCAAGGATACAAATTACTTAATTTACTATCAATTTCTCTCTCACGCTGCTGGAGGCTCCTGGTGAAATGACATTTTGATTATTTCCATAGCTGGATAAATAAAGTGCTGAATAAATGTTTCCCTTTTTCATTAGGCTTCTGTACAGAATATGGTCTGTTTCATCTCTTTGTTTTAAAGATTACATTTTCACTATAGTATTTTTATATTGAGTTTAGCATAATTTCCTCATGATCATTACATCAGAGACCTTACAAAGAACATATTACCTTCTGATTCATAAACTTTTATCAACATGTGATGATATGCAGAACAAATCACAAGCCCAGCAGTCTCTTAATATAGCTATAATTTAGCTATAATGTGTAATGTATTTTCTCCTACAACCCGAAGTGCCTGAAAATAAATAATCGTTAAGACTAGGAAATAATCAGATACAAAATTAGACAATAAAAAATAGCAATCTTTATTTTTTCCAAATCTACAATAAGATAAATCTTACCTTATACTACAACAAAATACAATGGGTGTACAATATTCATAAAATAATCTGTTTTAATCATATTTCTGGCCATTCGGGACATGACATTGCTCAATATGGGTTGAATAGAACATTATAAATCTATGAGATTAGGAAGTGGTTTTCCTTTATTATGGCTGCAAAATAACATGATTGACACCAAGAATTTTCTAACAGCCAGGACTGAGACAACCATGTCATTTTTTTCAATTGTTATGTAAATCATTTGGCAGCACTGGGTGGGATTGTGGAACCTGAGACTAGACTCAAAACTGTCCCCATTTTTAAGCAGTATACATAATCTTTTGGTAAAAAAACAACAACTGTACATAAGAAAAATAAGTGACAGGTAATCTGCAAATAGGCTAAGATATAAATGGCATCCACATGGTCAGAACTTTTCCTTTAAATAGACAAATGGTTAGCATATGTCTCATATATTAAAAATGGCTTCTCCCATATTGTTCAAATATTAGCCCAGAAAATATTTGTACAATTTTGGACACTTTAGTCACACATAAAAATGTATGAACTGTCAAATCCAAAACATTTAACTAAATTGCAATGGCAAAACTTCACATTCCTTACCTATTTTTGTAATTACTTTTAAATAACAGATCTCAAGGTCAGATTTAGTGAATGTATAAAATCTGCTCCCCTCTTGTTCACATGTATATTAGTTCATCACAATAACATGCCCCATTAACATTTTATAAGTGTTCTAACACTTTATTCGAGGAAAAAAAACCTTTATAAATTAGCGTGCTTGAGATGCCATGTTTTGATATTTTGCTACTGGATATAATGCAAAGACATCCATGCATTTTTAAGTGTGGCTTAAGTGTCCAAAAACGTTTTGGGGGAGTCAACTGCATGAATTTCCACTGACAACATGAAATACATCTATCAACAAATCATGGTCACATGTATATTATAGAATATAGATAGAGAACAGAATGGCTCAGGACTTGCTTTAGTAAATACTGACAGTTGCAAAAAAAA